ATAGGAAGACACTTAGATAACACTGACAGAAATGTACTGGTATGGTACACAAAAAGAAACCAGGAACCAGAAGAGGCTGAAGGCACGCCTCCCTGAGGGAATTATGTTTTGCAACAAGCATGACCTGTACTCCCCATTCAACCAAAAGGGACCATCTGCCCCTCCCAGGTAAGTTCAGGACATCTCCTGGATCACACGGTGAGGCTGTCTCTAATGTGTCCATCAGGCAAAATCCTAGCTTCCAGATTCAGTTAACTTTAGCCTCCCAAAGAAAGGATCACAGAACCTAGACCAGATGAGTAATGTCAGAACGACAGACCTAAACAAAGGGCACTCACATCACACTTACCAACTGGGCAGACTATCAAACATTCAGTGTGAATGGGGTAATCACAGGGCTTCTGGAACAATGCACCAAATGTTAGGGTCCAAGAGAAGCCCCCAAGAAATGATCATTGTCACATATATAGTAAACTAGAGTGCTTTATTAATTCCAACCTTGAGGAGGCACTTGGTGACCCACAAAGATGGCCACAAACACCTTTTAATAAGAGTTAAGGGAATTCCAAGGAAGAGGGATTAATCTAGAGCTGATTGGTGGCAGAAAAATTAGTCTGGGGGCTGATTGGTGGAAGTCTTAGTGGTTAGGGACTTTCTGGTGGCAAGGTAGGAAAAGCTATCTTTAGCTAGCAGAAGTCTGGGGGTGCCTGCTGAGCCAGCAAAGGGAAATTGGGGCCCTGCTGAGCCACGATAAGGGGCTATGGGTCATCTGAAGAGGTAGCAGAAGGCTGCAGGATGCCTGCTGATTGGTTGCCCCTAAGCTGTGGTTTTGCTGAGGACTGTCAGTCTACTAGGAGAGTCTGATTGTCTTGACTCTGGTTTGCCCCACCAGCCCTTTCAAGTAGTAGAAATATGACACCATGTGTTTAAGTCATAGCCTCTTAAGCAAGTCTAGGAGAGCCATTGGTAAATGTGCAGCCTCAGTTGACAGGCAGCCTCATGATTGTGAGGTGACTGTCTGGGAAAGAAGCAGTTGTGTACTGGAGCTGCCCAGAGACTGCAAGACAAACAGTGCAGGGGATGGTGGAGTCAGAAAAGTGGATCTTCCCAGTTCAATAGGAACCCAGAGGAAAGTGAATGTGTCCCAGATATCAAATACTGGAATGTTTTTTGTTTGGTTGATTGGAATTTATGTTATCATTGCTTTGTGACAAAGAACTTGTGTGAGTGGACAACCAATATCTGGTGCAACTATAGACACACATGATAAAAGGGAGCCCATGCTCCATACTACCTGGATCATCAGGAACCAGAGAATGGATAGTCCAGAGAACTATGGTAGAACCTTACAGATCTGGTCAAAAAAATCAATCAATGAAATTATTCACAATGATATTCTGCTATACTCAAAAATCAGTGCCTTGTTTAGTCATTATCAGAGAGGCATCCTCGGGCAGTAGATGGGAGCAGGTAAAGAGATGCATTATGTGGAAAGAAAATCTAAATTTTAGGTCTCCATTGAGTTATTCTCCTCAGAACTCAGGGAACCCCACCATGGAAGAGGAAGAAGAAGAGCAAAGAATGTAGACATCAAGAGGAAGGGTGGATACCAGGAGAACATGGTCCACTGAATCAACTAAGCAGGACTTATTATTCGTGATCCTAGAGAAGCTAAATAAGAAGATGAACCTGATGAAGATTATTTAGCTATCCACCAGGAGGTAGGAAATAGACAAGAGTCCCAGGTAACCTCGGGTGCATGGGGGGGAGGGAGGGTCGATGGAAGGGGAGAAGGTTAGAGAGAAGGGAGTAGGGGAAGAAAGGGGAAAGCTTGGTGGCCTGGGATGGGGGGGGAGGGAGGAAGGATGAACAAGGGATCAGGGAAGATTATATTTCAACTAAGGGACCCATTTTAGGGTTTACAGGAGACTTGAGTATATATGGGATCCCAGGTCCAAGGAGAGATCCCCCAGATTGCTCTCTGGACAGAGGAGTGGGTGCCTGAATCGGCCGTGGCCCATGTCCATACTGATGTATATTTTGCTTATCACCATAGATCCTGCATCTGACGAAGGATGGCGATACAGTCGGAAACCCACATTGCAGCACGGGACTGAGCCCCCCGAGGTCCAAATGAGGAGCAGAAGGAGGAAGAACATGAAAAACGAAGTCAGTACTGCGAGGGATGCCATCACCCACTGATACAAGGGAACGGATCTGATGAGAGTTTACCAAGGCCAGTTGGACTGGGACTGAAAGAGGACGTGATCTAACCAGACTCTCCGAATTTGGCCGGATTCTCTGACTGTGGCTGACCCGAAGTCTTTCTGAAAAGCCATTGACTATGACACTGGGACCTGTTTCCTCTACATATAATGGATTTTGGGGATCCAGTCTGTTTGGACACTCACCTTCCTGGACCTGGAGGGAGGGGGAAGGAACTGGAACTTCCCACAGGGCAGGAAACCCTGACCGCCCTGGGGGACGAAGAGGGAGGAGGAGGGGGAGTAGGGGGAGTGGGAGGGTGTTGGGAGGGGGGGTGGAAATGGAAACTTTTATAATTTAATAAAATTTACTAAAAAAAAAAATAATAATAAAAAAAAAGTGTCAAGCACAGGGCCTGTAAATGTCTGTACCAAGTCCTGTACCTATAGCTGTTACAGCTGTTATCTTTGTATTTTTGAGGATCTTTTAACAGTGGGAGTGGGTATGTCTCTGACTCTTTTGTATGCTGTTGGGGTTATTTTTCTCCTATTGGGTTGTCTTGTCTAACCTGAACATAAAGGCTTTTGCCTTGTTTTATTGTATCTTGTTGTGTTTTCTGGTTGTTGTCTCTTTGAGGCTTGCTCTTTTCTGAAAAGGGAAAAGAAGGAGAGGAGAGGGGATCTGGGGAAGATAGAAGTTGGGGGGCAGAAGCTGGTAGAAGTGGAAGAAGAGTAGAATGTGTTGTGTGGGAGAATATTTTAAAAAAAAATTTATACATATTCTCTTACTCCAAGTGGGAAGAATCAGAGTATAGTCACAATCAAATGAAAGAAAACCCAATTTTTAGAGTGAAAAAGTAAAGTGATCATTGTATGCTGTGGCAAACGTTTTTAACCCCAACATATAAAAAAGGAAGAGAAACTCTCTGAGTTTGAGGCCAGCATGGTCTACACAGTGATTCAAGAATAGTCAGGGCTACCCAATAAAACCCTGTCTCAAAAACAAAGATACATAATGGAATTCATTTGCTTTTGGTTTTTACAGGAACCCATAGGTATGAGATATTATATATTTTAGAGAGGGTTCAAGTTTTAAAGAGATTGAATATTTTAAAGAGATTTAACATTTAAATTGTTTGAATTTTTAAAGACTAGAGGACATTTATATGTTGGAATGTGGTATTACATTGTGATATTGACATTGACATGAGATCTTAGAGATAAACCAGAAAAAAAAGGTATGTGTAGGGCCCTGTCTTCCCTGTTCCTCGAGGCCAAAGCACAGGATGCAAGAATTGTTTACGCTAACCAGCTTGGCTTCCCCTGCTCATTCTGCCAGCAGGAGGGAATTAGTTCAAAGCCTTGTTTCTGTCATTGCTATGATAATTTCACCTGCTAAGAAGGTCCTCACAGTTGCCCTAAATCTCCTCCCATCTGTCTGTCAGGGTTCCCAGCTCAATGCCCACTACGTGGAGGCCAACAACCCTCTTCTCACTCCCAGGTGGGAGGGGGCTCTCATCCTCTTGTCTCCAAGTATATAAGCCTATGTGTGCTGAATAAAGATTGACATTTACCCTTTGGGCAAATGATCTGGTCTCTCTGTGTGTCGTGTGTCTGTTTTCAACTCCCAGGATATTGATCCAGACTCATGGTGCGTTATGGGAAGCACGCCCTGTATCGGCTGTGGGGATTCATAGAAAAGTGCGGGACAGGTATGCTTTAATAATGTTTTGCTGTGACTAGCTGACAAGTGGTCAGTTGTCCTAGTAACATTTTCTTTTTGGCAGTCAACTTGACATAAGTTGGAGTCATCTATAATGAAGTTTCATTTAAGGAAATATGTTGAATTAACTGGCCCATTGGCAAGTATGTCAGAGATTTTTTTTTTTTTTTTTGACTAATGATTGACAGGGAGAACCTAGCCCAGTCTAGATAACGCTATTTCTGGGCATGTGGCACTGGGTCATATAAAAAAGGAGACTGAGAATATCATGGAGAGCAAGTCAGTAAACAGCGCTTCTCCATGGCCTCTGCACCAGTTCCTGTCTCCAAATCCCTGACCTGAGTTCCTCGCTGTGTTCCTGTGATGATGGACTAAGAATCAAACAAATCTTCCCCTCCCTAAGCTGTTTTAATCCTAGTGTTTTATCACACAAGTTAAAACCTGAGCATGACAGAAATATTACATGATAATCCTAAACCTAGGGAACAAAGCGTTTACATGGCTAGAAAGTGAGCATTGGTCTTATCCAGTATGCCAAGTTTTGCTTGATTTTTTTTATTGATTGTTTTACTCTGAAAGGTAGATTTCTTAGAAAGCTAGTGTGTAGAATCATAATTGTGTAGATAAAAAATAAGCAAGGTGAATATATGCTAGATGGAGAATGTGCTGGAACTTAAAAGATACGTTTTTATACATAGTAACCACAGAAAATATCCCTTAATTCTATCAAAAATATTCCTTTGTAACCATAAAAGTAGCCTTGGTGCCTCTTCCAAAGAGATTTTTTTAGTATCCAAAGGTGCAATTTAGGGTTGTATGGTTACAACTAACCCTCTATTGATTGTGAACTGATTCCTAACTCCTTCTCTCATTGGTGAAGGCTGTGAGGACCCTGTGTGTGACAAACAACCTTTGATACACAAATTTCAGCAAAGATAAATTTCTCTATCACTTTCTTGTTGTGAAATTGGAAGTTAGAAGACCTAAATATTACCCATCAAAATGGCACAATTTCATTCTCTAGTATATAAAAGACACAATGTAACACATGTCTGAAAGAGGGTTTAAATCAGCTTTACTAACGGATGGGTGAATACAGTTGAATCTTAAGGCCCAAGTGATGTTTCTTTCTTCTTCTCGGAGGTGATGACTGCTGAGCTCCTCTGGGCTCACTCGTGAACTTATCTACCCAGTCAGCTACTGAATCTGGAATGTGGAAAACAAATCTTGGATGGGTCCATCATGTGCAGGTTCTGCTGATTCCCTTTATGGCATAGAGACTAGAAGTCCAAAAGCAGGTCCAAGAATGGCAGGACAAGAGAGAAGAAGCAAAAAGATAAACGATCAGAAACCTTCAGCAACTATCTTCCCAAAGCAGAGAAAATTTGCCCAAAAATGCTCAAGTCCCACCAACTACAATAATCTTAGGAAACACTCCAGAGGTGAAAGCATCTCTGAGTGCTTGCTCTTTATTGTCAATGTTGTGGAGAGCCTCCCCCTATTTGACTCAGCAGATAGAAAGGTAAGTCTCTTGGAAAGGATGAGAAAGTTAAGAGTCTGACTTTTTACAGACAGAGGAAGACTCTGTTTGGCCTAGAAGTGTTTTTTTGTTTTTTTTTTTTTTCTGGTAGTAATTCCTGGCACTATGAAATAATTGCACTACTAGTCTGCTTATTAGGATTTTCTGTCTCTAGATTTCTTGTTAGCATTCATTTGATCATAGCTTTTTATATCAAAATATGCATTCAATACTCATGTTCTTGGTTACACCTCGGTAGCTTCACAAGAATGTAAATCTCCTCCATTACCTGTGATTCTTTTCAGGCTTCATCCCCAGAGGTGAACTTGTTTCCTGATCCTATCATGCATCTTCCTACAGTTTCCAATAGATTGACTCTACAGCTTTATTTTAAATATAGCTGAAGTACTGAAAATTTTTCCTTATCCCACAGTATTTATGAGGGATTGTGTTATCATGTTAACATACTGAACAACTGTATGTTGACATAGAAATGCAACTTACACTATACTAAGATACAGTTCCATCACAGCTATATGGCTTTCATATCTTTTATAACTGAGTGACATTGAATGTCAAACTACAAAATATACTGCAAATATATCACATTTTACATGTTGTTCAAGCTAAAATGAAAATATATAATATTTTACCTTTATCATTCTCATTATATAGTTTGTAGCATCACCAAATACAGGTTGTGTTATAGATGTCCTATTTCATTATGTGTATGAGTGTGCATGTGTGTGCGTGTGTTCAAATCTACAAATATACATATGGGATTTTTGTGGAAGTTTTAAATCTTTGAGGCTACAATTTTTCCACCATAATATTTAAGAGAGAAAGGAACAGCAAACAAGCATAAATAATTTATGTGAAAGTTATGTACAGTCTGTCTCTATATACACATACATGTATTAATACCTAAATGCCTCTATATCCACTATGTGGAACCTAATCTATTTATTCTTTCACAACCTGAACTCTGAGTTTTATTATGTTCTACACTGACCACTCATCTCATTATATCATATACTGACCATTTTCTGGAGCAATTGTTTTCTCCTTTTTGATTCAGGCAAGTGATCACTGTCTTATAATACTATAATGGATATATTTTGAAGATTCTGATTATATATAAATGAAATATATTTATGGTATCAATGATACATCTGAAACCTTTTGCATAAAGTCATCATGATCTATTCTGTTATTACTTAACAACAGATAGTTTTGAAAATGGTTTTCAGATTGTTGTTAAAATGAGAAATATATGACTTCCAGAATTTAAATATATTAATTTTAACAGATTTTTGAAATGTGAAGGCTAAATAACTTACCAAGGATAAAATGTTAAAAAACTAAGAAGTAATTAGAAAAGGAACAATTTTGAGTAGACTACTAGAGAACCCCTATGTTTATGACAACAAAATTTCTCCATCATATGAGAGAAAAATGAAAACATTAAAATGTCCCTAGAAAAATTTTCTACTTGCAAACTTCCAAAGTGAAATTTTCACAGGTTCAACCAAAGGTAAAAGCATTTCTCTGTGAGTATTAATCACTAAATACCTTTGAGAAGAAAACTCTACAGATGTAATATCAAGTGCATTCCCCAACTCAAAGGCTCCTGAGCTGACAAATTACCCAGTACTGAACTAGGCAAATTAGAAGGCTCACTGTGAAATCAGTTGGTGGTAGTGTTGAAATTTAATTAGACTTAGGGAAATATTATATATTTTTATAACTGAAGGCGATTGAATGTTTTAATATAGGTGGAAATCCTACATTCTCTGCTTTAAACTCATACCATTTTCTTTCTTTTCTCTGACAGTGGTGGTAAGCACTCTTAACAGAAAATACAAAGCCCTTTCTTTTATGAATCTAATGACACAAGAAAGGTACTACAAGATTTCTTCCCTCACTCATCTTCTTTACCTAAGCTGAATTTGCTTGTCATCTTACACTCTTTCCGATAGATGACCAATTATGAATAAGATAAGATGTTACACCCAGCAAAGATAGGCATATATTGCCCATCATGAAAATCAAGATTTCTATTGTTTTTCTTTCCCCCACTATATCCTGTTCTGTCTTTGACTAACCCACCCACAGAGACATACACGCATACTCACATACATAAATACACATACACAAACAAATATACATATACACAGAGAAATTTAAGGACATATACACATAACCACCAGACACAAGATATACACATAGGGGTTTACATACCCGCATGTACACACACATTTATAAAGAGATACACAAAGACACACATATATACATTTGTTCAAGCCCACATGCATACATATGTGTACACACAAATACACATATAGAAATGCATGGATATACATACAGGCACACAAACAAATAGATACACATATGTACAGACGTAAATACACACACATACATGTACACACTGAAATATATCCAAACACATTCACTTAAAGACATATACACATACAGATACACAAACACTGACATATATGCAAATATATACATTCATGGATACAAACACACACACACACATTCACCAACACACTAACATGCATACACAGTTTTGAGAGTTTTTTTTTTTCACAAAATCACAATGATGTTGCGAAGGATCAAAAATATTTTACTTTGAAGTTTTTCTGCTGTCACTTCGAATCACGGATATAGGCCATTATGGACATGAAAAGCAGAAGAGCAGCTCCTTACATTACTAAATGTCTTATAACACTATCATACATCAGAGGCCATCTGTCCACAAACGTCATCAGAGTTCTTCTTTGGTGCTTTTCAACTGTCCAGTCCATCTTCCTTCACTCCAATTACTGAACAACAAGTAATTACCTCGTATATCTGTTGTATTTCTTCCTTTTCAAATTTCACTTTAATTTCAAAGTGTTTTGTTTATCCAGGCTAAGTCCATGGACAAAACACAAATTAAACCGTTAGATTATCATGTCTAAATGTTAAAAGGTGGCCTCACATGCCAAATGAATGTTTTCTGTCTGGATCTCCAATTCTAGCATCTGTTTGGACAGCTTACAATTTGTTTCTGCTAATTTTCTATATCATATACAGATAGTTACAAAGTATAGGATTGTTTAGCCAAACATATATTTTATAAAATTGGTACCATAATATAAAAAAATGATATATCTTTGTGTACTAGTTTTACAATATATATACTTAAATTATTCAATGGGACCTCTTTCACAAAAAAACAAAAATGTTTATCAAAATTCTTTTAATATAAGACCACTTTTCAAAAACTGAAAGAAATACCCAGTGTAAATTGAGCTGTATAAACATTTTTTAGAGAATGTTGTTTTCTCTAAGGATTATAATGAAAATTATTCCCTTAGACTTTGACTAAACTCTAATTGTTAACATTAGATTTCATCATGCTAATGATGACAAAGGAACAGAAAAAGTTAACTTGTTCTGATGTAGGATAAGAAGAATGTCTATACTACAATAAAAATATATCTCTTTGGTTTCTTAATGGCTACTTTTCTGACATATAAACAAAATAACCTTTTTTGATTTAAACTGATATTAAAGATACAGCAGTACAGAAAGTCAACTTAAAGGTTTGAAACCCATGACCATTTGGAGCGTGGAATCTGCTGAAAATAAATAATATTAATATCGAATACAACCTTTATTCTTATCAGGGACTCCTAACAAGTATCTATAGATGTTGGTATTCCCAGACACCACTCCTTCAGGGGACAGTAGTATCCATAGTGAAACTGCTCAAATTCTGGTTTTTGCATAAGAAAGAGAGATCAATACCTGACTCCAAAAGGAGGAGGATCAGGGGAAATACAAACAGCAGCAGTCCCAGGCCCACCACAAGGAGCCTGGTGCAACACTTCACTATAGGGTTGACCCATATACGGCCGCTCAGGATGTAGTAACTCCATGACATAGCCTCATGAGTTTCCTTCAGCTCCTCCTCTTCAGCCATCAAAAAGGCATTTTCATCTGCTTCCAGTTCCTCAAAGGAATCTGTGTCTTCTCTTTCTAACTCGAGCCTAGATGGACAGTCGAAGAGCACGTCGATTTCATCATCATCCACTGGCGTATGGAACAGCCTGGCATTCTTTGCTAGTTCAGAGATGGTCAAGGGGTCTCCTTCTACTCTGTCTTCCTCTTCACTCAGAGGATCTGCCCACTGAGTTCCATTCTCTTCTGAGTTGGCAATTAAGGACTCAGAAACATCCACTCTAGGCAGTGGAGCACCTGGAAAGAAACATTATTTTATAAATTTTACATTTCAGATATTCTTATGTCACAAAAAATGGATATAGAAACATATAGAGTTCAAGGTATACATGCAACTGTTCTATGGAATGTTCACTTTATACAAAATTGGTTTACTAAGAGACCTTATTCTATAATTTCTTGGCTCAACAAGATAAACCCAAAATAACAGTGGTCAAAAGTTGCAAGTACCTTTAAGATTTTGACCCTCGTCTGTGACCTCCAACTATGGACAAGTTTTTAAAAATAATGTTGGCATAATTCAGATACACATTATAATTATGAGTGAAATATTGCAGTAATCAATACTATAGCACAATATAGTATTTTTAAGGGAACACTAGAGTAAAATTATAGATTCTACTGTTCACTAATAATCACATTATACTTCTGAGTCATATTTTTTAGTCTTTAATACAATTTTGCGATATCTTTATGGATTTGAATTGAAATTTTCTCAAAGTTAAAACATTACACCTTGGACAGAAGCCTTTTAAGACTCAGAATGGTCCAAAGCAGTCGTTCTCAGCCTTTGTAATGCCGTGACCTTTTAGTATAGTTCCACAAAGGGTGGTGACTCTCAATCATAAAGTTATTCTGTTGCTAATTTATAGCTGCAATTTTGCCACTGCTGTGAACGGTCATGTAAATATCTGATATGCAACTCCTTGGGGTCACAACCCACAAGTTGAGAACTGCTGGTCTAAAGGGTTCTCAGTATGACTCAGCAACTAAATAATTCCAAACCTTCGGAAAGTCTCTGAAACTGAGGTCTCTCCTTCCAAAGATTATATATGACTAAAGACATTTGAAAGAAGCTCCTAGACAAGTAAAGCTGCTGAGAAAACTCTCAGAACAACCGAGTTCACTGAAAGAGAAGGACCAGTTAAGCTGTCTGGAAAAGGATCAGACTGACTGGGATACCTGGAAGAGATATTCTCTAACCTGTCAAGCTACCTACAAGTCATGCAGTAGACTCCTATTCTCCAGATTTTATCAGTTTTTACCAATATTGGGATGGGCTTTTAATGGTGCAGCTGTCTTTGAGTAAATTATTTTCCTATAAGTAACCCCTGACCAATATTGTTGTAAATCATGCCATTAAATTTATTGGTTAACCAAGTTGAACTTTGGTGGCATCCTTGTATTAGTTCTTCTTGGGATGAATGTCGTATAACATGGGTATTAAATACCATCTGATTCATGAACCCAAAATGCGAAAGACTCTGACATCCAAAATTGTTTAGTGTAAAAATGTTCATAAATTTCAGTCCCTAGAAGATTTTGGATTTCAGAGAAATTTTTATCTTAAGTTTCCAGTTTAAAGACATTCAGTTAGAAAACTCAAAGAATATATTTCCAAATTTGCGGAAACACTCTGAAATCTGAAATACTTGTATACCAAGACATTTTGGGTGAAGAATACTTAATCTGTTATTGTAGCCACACTGTGTTCGCAAAGTCACCATTTGCTCTTTTCATTTATCATTTAAACATTTTCATGTGGAAACTTGAGTTTCATAAATATGGAAAATTTGTTGTTCTTAGTCTGGTTGTAGAAAAAATGCTCCAGAAGCTACTTTTACATATAAAGTTTATTTCTATCATATTTCAGTCTATTTCTTTGAGATGTATAACCAGAAGGCAAACCTCTTGGTCAAGGGTATGTCTTTCAATTTTTTTATTGAGAAAGATGTGCTTCTCAACACACGGAAAATGCAACTACCTCCATTCTGTCTTAGAGACTGGGTCTCCTTATTGAGCCTTAGGTTCTCAATGAAAACTAAGCAAAAAATCAAAAGTATTCTCTCTAGGACAGAAAAGCATCCAACTACCAAACAAACTGGTAAATAGTTTACAATTTCTTTGTCATCAAAGCATGTAGGAGAGAGGGTTTTTTTTTTCTTTTATCTTTCAAAAGTCAACAAATAATTTTTGGTCGATATGAGGCAAGAGCAGCAGCACCTAGGCTTAAAAAAAAGAACCATTAAAATAACATTTTACAGACTGAGTAGAAGTACACACAAACACAGAGAGAGAGAGAGACAGAGACAGAGAAACAGAGAGAGAGAGAGAGAGAGACATAGCAACAAAGAAAAGTGACCATGAATTTTGAAAAGATCAAGAGGGTAGGTGGGACAATTTGGAGGGAGAAAATAAGAGGGGGAAATGATATAATCATATTATAATCTTAAGAAAATAAAATAGTCCATATTCTAATGAATACTAAGCCTCAAGAAATATATTAACATCATAAATCATTAGGTAACTGTAAATCAAAGCTACAATATTACAGAACCTCAGGGCTACTCAGATAGTAATTTTTTTCACTTAATAAACATTAGCTTTAATGTTTCAATTGAGGAAATACCTTAGATTTTTTAAAATTTATTTATTTATTAAAAATTTCCACCTCCTCCCCTCCTCGCATTTCCCCCCTCCCACTTTTCCCCTCCCCCTCCCTCTCCAGTTCTAAAAGATGTCAGGGTGCCCTGCCCTGTGGAAAGTCCAAGGCCCTGCCCACTCCATCCATGTTTAGGAAGGTGCGCATCCAAACAGACTAGGATCCCAAAAAGCCAGGATATGCAGTAAAATCAAAACCCAGTGCCATTGTCATTGAGTTGTGCTGCAGATAGTAATTTTTTAAAAAAATACTTAGTTGTTGTGAGAATTTGGAGAAATTTTAACTTTGTACATTGCGAGAAGGAATGTAATATGTTCAGTTACTATGAACAATATTTTGGTGGTTTCTCAAAAAGTCAAATCTATAATTATCTACCATATGACCCAGTAATTCCCTTCATAGGTTCATTCTCAAAAAAAAACCCTTGAAATAAGTACTCCAAAAATTTTCATAGACAAATGTTCACATAAATTAATATAATTGTTAAAACGTAAAAAATTCCCAGATGCTTTTCAGTGGATACCTGTATAAAAAATTATGGTCTGTCTATTTAACAATATATCATCCACCTTATAAAATAGTGAAGTGCTGATCAACAGCACAACACAGAAAAATATCAGAACTATATGGTCAGTGAAAGGTCACCAAATGTCACCTAGTGTAGTTTTTCACTGAAAAAGCAAATGTTTGAAAAATTACAGAAAGAGAAAACTTTATGGTGGGAGACACAAAGAACTATGAGAAGAAAGGCATGTACAGCAATGGTAATAGTAACTTCTTAAGATGTCATATTCTACCACTATGGGAAGTGAGAGCAGGAACTCAAGGCAGGAACTAAAGAAGTCATGGAGGGAGTGTTACTTGCTGACTTATTCCTCATTGCTTGTTAAACCTGAATAATTTTACAGCTCATAATCTCAGCTCAGGGATGACACCACCCACAATTGACTAGACCCTCCCACATCTATCATAATAAAAAAAAAGAAAGAAGCAATAGACTTACTTATATGCCAATCTTAAAAAAATATTTCACGAATATGGGTGTTTTGTCTACATGTATGTCTGTGTGGCCCATGCATGCCTACGGCTTACAGAGGCCTGAAAATGTTCTTGGGTCCCCTGAAACAAATTACAGATGGTGATTGCTGAGAACTGAACCAGGGTCTTCTGGAAGAACAGCCAGTTCTCTTAACCAATAAGCCATTTCTCCAGCTCCTGTAAGTCAGTCTTATGGAGGTGTTTTCTAAATGGAGTCTCTCTTCTGAAATGATTCAAGTTTGTGTCAAGTTTGCACAGAACAAATGCAATTTACCCTTTGTCAAACTGACATGCAAACACATCACTATTAAATCATAGACTTTCCTTTTTAAAAGCGCAGTCTTTAAAAGTCCAAGGTCTCCTTAAAAGTTCAGTCTCAATAAAATATTTAAAATCTTCCTAATACTCCAAAGTCACTTAACTGTAGGTTTGTTGGCTCCTGGTAGTTGGGGAGAGCAAGTTAAGTATTTTCCTACTCTAAGAAGGAAGGGCAGAACACAGTTATAGACAAAACAAAACAAAACAAAATTCCAGCAGTGCGAAACTCAGTGTCAGATGGCTGTGACTTATGATCCTCTAGTCTCCAAAGGGCCTGGACTGCTCCACTTGTCTCGCTCTGCCGCAAACAGCACAGGTGCATGTCTAATAGGCTCAGGTCAGCTCCACTCCACATCTGCTGCTGTCTTTAGTGGTCACCCATGGTATTTATATTACCAGTACACTGCAGTCTCCCCTACAATTGAGGCTGCGCATTCACTAGTGGCCTCTCCTGACCTCTCTTCAGGGATTCTGACCTTGCCACATGGTGTAAAACCTCAATTTCTCTCCAGGAGCTCTAAGCCTGAGATCTGTTCTGTGGCTGAGGTTGGACCATCACAAATAGCCTCTTTCTGCTTTTCACAGTGCCAAGCCTCTGCTGCTCCCCATGAATGGCCTCTTAATGTCTTCAAAGTTAGTACCACCTGGGAAACTCAGATATATCACCAAATTTGGCTCCTATCATAAGATACAGCCTTGATCCCTATTGAGACCAATTTTTGTTTGCTAAATCTAAAAATACTTCCTAGAAGATTTTACCTTGATGCTGATCTCTTCTTAATCACAACTCATTCTTTACCCCATCTAACTAGTGTTGCCTGTACTAGCAAAGCAAAGATTTCACTATGCTTTGAATTTTTGAATTTTAATTCTTCAACTCCAACTGACCAGGACCATAGACTCTTAACTCAAAATATCACATAAATATTCCTTATAGTATTTGCTTCTCTCTGATGTTTCATAAGCATGGCCTTCATCTTTTTTACTGCTTGCAGCCTTATCTTCCAAGTTTCCGAATAATCCATTAATCTCAGGGCCTTCTGTGGCTTTTCTAGCTCAAAGTTCCATACTCCTTCTAGATAGTCTTCCACCCCCTATGCACAACACATATTCAGGTCTATCAGAGTAATAGTCTACTCTCTGGAAACAACCTATATCTCACTTAGGTTTCTACTGATGTGAGGAAAGGATTTATGTCATCTTACAACTCTCTGTCATAGTCTATCACTGAAAGACATCAGGATAGGAAAACAAGGTAGGAATCTGAAGATACATGCCTCAGAGAAATACTGTTTGCTGAGTTGTTTCTCTGAACTTGTTCAGTCTCCTTTTTATACCATACAGAACCATCAGTCCAGGGCTTCACTTCCAATAGTAGGCTTGGCCATCCCACATGAACCATTATCAAGAATTAGTTAACCAAATTAACCAGCCACAGAGTTTACTGTAGGTCGTTTGTATGGCGGCATTAACTAAACTGAGAGTACTACTTCCCAACTGACTCTAGCTTGTATCAAGTTGACATAAACCTAACCAACAAAGACTCTTTTGACAATGTTGGAAATAAAGGAGAAAACAAAAATCACAGCAAAAGTTACTGTTTTGATGTAAAAAACCGGCCAACTGGAAAAGTTGTGAATGGACATAGAATGAAACCTTTTTCACCAGTTGCTTCTGGACTTCTCTTATGCTTAAAATTTTACCTTTTATTATTTAAAGCAGAGTCAATTATGATTATCTGTTAATTTTTCCTGGTGACAACATAACTTCACAGCTATCATTTCACCATGTAGATCTGTTTATCATTATAACCACTGTGATGGTTTTATTTTGGCCTGCTTTCCATTAAATCTTTACATTACAATGATGTGGGATTTCCCTCTGTATTCTGTGATTACCATTAATAAATAAAAAACTGCTTTGAACCTATAGCAGGGAAAAACTTAGGTGGGGAAAACTAAAGTGAATGATGGGAGAAAGAAGGGAGGAGTCAGGGAGAAGCCATGTAGCCTGGCTGGAGCAAGACGGAACTTAACCTGGTAAGTCACAGTCACATGGCAATACACAGATTGCTAGAAATGGGTCATGTAATTAATATGTAAGAGTTAGTCAATAAGAAGCTAGAGCTATTGGACCAAGTAGTGATTTAATTAATACAGTCTCTGTGTGATTATTTCAGTTCTGGGCGGTGGGGACGATCAAGCGGAGAGCAGCCAGGAACCAACGAGTGGTCTCCTTACTATATTATAAAAGGCAAGGACTTGAGATTTCTACTACAGAAATGACTTTGTATGATGGTGAAGGTATAGAACGAAAAAGCATTAAAAGATTTCTCGCCAGTGTGAAACTTGTTAAATTCTCACTGTTCATCAGACTCACTCTAGTAGAACGAGAAATATGAAAGTATGAAGTATGTCTTATATTTTCTCTATTTCCTAAGGTAAGATTCTGTACACAAAACAAAATAAACAAGGAGTTCATGAGAGTTCAGCAAAGTATTCAAAAGCAAGACTGATATTTTAAAGAAGGCAGTGTGAATCATGACATATCAGTCAAAACTATTAAAAGAGATAATAATTGACAATCTCATTCAAGATCCCTAATTTGCAATACTCAGTGAAGTTCCTAAAAAATGTACAAAATTTGAATGAGAATAATGTTAAAATGTAACTGAGCATATCAATAGGTGAGTGACCATGATGACATTTTTCAATAAGAGGCCTAAATGGTTCAAAAATTCAGTTCTCCTTTTAATCTAAAATTCATCACAATCTTAAAAAATAATTACAATTTTTTATAAACAACAGAAGGGAAAAGATTACAGGAATATTTGAAAATAAAAATTTTAAATTTTAAATATATCAAATAAGTTATATAATTTAGTGTTAAACGATGTCCTGGGTAAATCTTAGATGCCTATGACTAAAAGAGAAGAATCTGAAAAGGCTACATCCTGTGTTGTTCCTACAATGTTACAGTCTAGAAAAGAAGATGGAGATTTTTAAGTGACTGCCATTGGTTGAGACAAAAAAGTAATTAGTAAGAGTAACAAAGAGGATTTTAGGTCAGTGAAAGTGTTTTGTACTGATATGGACCTGGCCAGATTTATAACATACAACATAAAGAAGGAGCCCTAGTATAAACTCTGGGTGTTAGGCAATACTTTTGTGTCATCTAGAGAAGTATATCACTCTGGTAAAGGATGACTACAGGAAGTGGATGTACTTCTTATGTTTCTAGATAAACAACAAAAAAAAAGGAACTTCTGTTTTGCCCCTATGTTGTTGAAACTAGAGACTAGTGTATAAGGCACGAGACTACCACTGATCTACACCCCCAGGCATTTTACCTTCCAAATGCCAAGGAAACAATTATAATAAATTTAGTAGTCATGTTAGGATCATACATTCTCATAGTTTTGTTAGTGTTTTTTAAAAATAATTGGATAATTTTCATCACATTTGTATTCTGCAGGCTAACAAATATACTTTTAAGAATGATAGAAAGTATCTGCTTCTAAGTTATTTTCATCATTATTATGACCAAAAATTTAGAAATGCTAACTTCCAATGATAATTTTGTGGTTAAGTAGCAAATTATTATTTCTCTACATTATATAATTTTTCTATACTATTTTGTTATTTTTAAAAGGATTCATATTAGTATATTTTAATATGGAAATTCTTTTGGCAATCATAAGTTTAAAAATGCCTTATAAAATACTACACCTAGAACAATTCTATTCATAAAATATACCATAAGTGCAATTCCAGTATTCCTGAACTTGTTACTGAGAATATTAATATACAAAAAATTGTTTATATTTGTGCTTTTGAAAGTAAGATGAACATAATGCTTGTATCTATAAATCACAGAACTCAGAAGGTTAGAGAAGAATTATGAGTTCCCAGAAACTTTTGTGCCACACAGTGAGTTACAGGCTAGCCTAGTCATGCATGCCTCCGTCAAACAAAACACAGCAATAACTTTATTGATTTTAGAACAGGAACACATCATATGTTACTCATATCAGCATAAAAATACAATTAATCTCAACTAAGAAGGCAATTTTATAAATCTTAGTAAGCTACGACTAATTCCAACTAACCCTCCGAATAAATTTTACTGTAACCATTTGCTGAAAACACGCATAAACTTAAGAACATATAATTACAGCAGGATTGTAGCTGAGGATCTGACTTTAAATTTCTATTTCAATTTCGGTTTCAACTTCTCATATCATGAAATAACATAAAACATGATCATTATTGAGAAAAAAATTGGCATAACACCAGTCTGATGATGGTTATTTAGTTGATTTTTTATTTTACTCCTTTAGTTTTAATTTAACTCATGTACACATGCATGTTTTTCTCTGTCTGTGAGCTTACAGAGGCCAAAAGAGAGCCTGGTAATTTATTTTGATAAAATTCTGATTCGAAGTTTAAAAAGAGAGTCTGCCTCATAGTCGGAAACTGTCATAATGAGAGGCAGAGAAGTGTTTTGATTATTTATTATACGCTATTATAAGCACCATCTCTTACTACTAAGCAAGCTTCAGGAATGCACAGCAGGATTTTCTCTTGTATCTTTTGAATAAAGAAGGTAATCTTTATCATTTTGTTGGACAAGAGAGCTTGTCTTCCTACTTCCCTTCTCACTGACTTGTTTACAGTCCTCAGTACCCTTCATTATTTTCTTCCTTCCGTTTTCTCACTGTCTGTATTCTCTTCTTATAAAAAATAAAACTGTATGCCACATGCATTCTTTGCTTCCCTCTGGCTCACCAGTGGTGAGCATGTAGTTGGAAGTAATCCCACTTATCTAGGCATAGGAATGACAGCCCAGGGAAAAGCACGTACCAGCATTTCGAGGTATGACCTTGGAGCCATGTTTTAGCAGACGGACAAACACATTACTGCTGCAGTGGTTCATCATGTGCAAGTGGAGGCTTCGTTGAGTCCGGATCTTGACCAAACATTTTGCCATATTTAATATTATGATTTTCCTAAGGCTCTGTTGTCAGTTGTGGCCCTGAATATATGCAACCAGCAACAACAGCTTTGACCTTTTGCTCGCTGTCCATTCTGTTTCAAATGACTAAGGCAGAACACACAGAGAATGAATCAAATGTCAGCTTCTTAATGTAGCCAACAAAAATAACTCACCAGGGATACACATTGGGCAAGGAGGGAGGGAGGAGACACTATTTATAAACTCTCACCCCTCCTCTGGTGAACAGTAAAATTTTACGCCTAGTTCTCACTTAGTTTTTTTTCTAACACATCTCGATAAATAATCTCTGCCAAGTGTCAAAAGTCCCTAGCATAGAAGAAAATTCCTCAATTCTACACTGTAAGAAACAATTTACTTTCATTTCATTTCTGATATACTTAATAAGCTTCCACTATGTTCTAGAGCAGATTTTCCCAATAAAATATAATACAAGTATTTAAGCAGTAGGTTACAATTATAGTTAATAATGTGTTTTATTTGAAAACAGGATATCCCAAATAGTATTGTTTCAACATGAAATGATTTGTTAAGCAGTTCACATTTGCAATGAGACTGATGTGTGTTCAACACGTAAAGACAGTTTCTACTGGGACTAGACACTGCTGGTGGTGTTCAGCATCCACATGCAGCAAGCTTGTGGAACTGCATTGCTCTCCCCACAATGGTGAATTCTTGGCATACTGCGTTTCCACCCTGTCACTATGCCAACACTGTGTTCCTTTTATAGACATGGCTTATGAAGAAAAGTGACCTACACTAATTCATGAAATCAGTAAGTGTCAACAGCATGTTGAACCTTGGCATTCTAACAATAACAGGTGACTGAAATATAAATCTCCATATTGACAGCTGTCGGTGCTTGAATTAGGAGCTATAATGTGCTTTAAATGCAGGGGTCAAGTATCACATTTTTCTTACACTTGGAAGCACTTAGACTTGTGCGTCTTTTAGAAATTTGCTTGTACTCCAGCATGGTAACTAAGGATACAAACATTCTCATATTTAGGACATGCTACATAATTAAAATTTTTTGACTGATTATGAACAATACATTGGACAGTTTAACTTATGTTTTTCTGGTATATTTCTTATCCATTGATATCAAAAGAAAAGTTTTCACATTATTTTATCATGCATTCATACCCTTTTCCATTTCTAATAGCTAAGTTACTGACAAAGATTTTATAATGTCAGGAGACAATGGGTTTACATTTAGAACCATCATTTGAAATTCTACATTGGTATATTTCATTATGAACTAAAATTAATAGCATTTATAAGAAGAAGCTTAGCAAACTTATGGAGCTTTATAAGTCTGGCATTCCTTAACTTTAAATTCCACTTTTAGATATTTGTTTTGAAAGAATATTCAGAAATGTTGACAAAAATATTCATCAAGGCATCATTTATTGTGTCAAAAAACATCCTAAATTTCCGATGGAAACATTATTTAATATATTCATAGATATTAAAATTTATGTTCATAGGAACTTACTGATGTGAGAAAATGTCTATAAAATACTACAAAATGAAGAAAGCATGTTTATATAAACAGAAGAAATTCAGTCATGTAATCATATACTCAGGAATAAAATAAGAACCTAGAATCAATTCTAAAGACAAGAGCACACTTCCCTATAATGGGAAATAGTGGAGATCACACCTACAGACACCACAGGGCCGGCTCCTCCTGCTCATGGGTTGGTAGTTCCAGGAAAAGTAATAAATCCTTTGCCAATAGAGTGAGTCAGTTTTCAGATTTGAGTCTTGAACCAAAAAGTTTAAAATTTCAAACCCCAAAATGTTATACTAGAAATTTATAAATTTTTTTTAAAAACATATTTATTTATTTATGTATTATGTATACAATATTCTGTCTGTGTGTATGCCTGCAGGCCAGGGCACCAGACCCCATTACAGATGGTTGTGAGCCACCATGTGGTTGCTGGGAATTGAACTCAGAACCTTTGGAAGAGCACGCAATGCTCTTAACCTCTGAGCCATCTCTCCAGCCCCCGAAATTTATAAATTTTTAATCATTTTTAATTCCTTTTTTTTATATAATTCGGGTAAAAATCCCTACATAAAAAAACAGATATAAAACAAAAAAATAAAGTTCTGGAGCAGTGACATTATTACTTCCTCACTTGTCACCAGCAATAATTCTTAAAGATGTTATTAAAAAATATTATACACCGTAAATGATTTTTACAAAGATTTTATCATAAAGTTCAATTTTCAAAAATTCATAGACATTCAAAAATATTATTAGAAATGTTTTTAAAACTTGAAATTAAATATGAAAAAAATTTCTGGATGACTTTCTGCCTTGTATCAAAAAAAAAGAATTTCAAAGATTAGTAAGGACTCATTTGAATGGAGCTAAAACACAGTAATGAGAAATTATCCTTTCAACCTCTTTGACACGAATAGATCAACATGATAAACCAAAAGCTGCCTCTGTATATGTTTTAAGTTGAGACAAAATTTTGCTTATTATTCAGATTCATATTATTCATATTATTAATATACACTTTTGAAACAAAGGACTAGGTCTTAGCAAATCACAAGCCAAGTTCCTTTTATGATCAAATAAGACAGATGTGAGCTGTAACCAATGAAGTTGTCTCTTCCTCACTTGTATTTTGTGTGCTCACTTCCTCTTCTATGGTGATAAAAACAGCCATGCTAAAGAGTAAGCCAAAGAATTCTGAACTATTTTGGTTCAGGCTACCAGCTGATTCTAGAATCATAAAGTCAATTAAGATCTGAAAACTGCCTTTTTTGTAGTGATGACTTCTTTAAAAATTTTTACCTTTCATCGTATTAGAACAGCATGTGGCCTGATCACATGAAAGAATAAGACCTCCAAAAAACAATACAGGGAGTAAATAAAACACCTGAAAATAATTACTGCCATACTTTTCTTTCCCCTAATTTCGAAGCACTAAATCTCACCAGAGTTTGCATACCTTTTCATCGTTTTCATACTTTAATATCTTATTATAAATTATAATTTTATTAAGGTAAACCACAATATTTGATATATTTCATTCAATCTCTCAAATTTGAAAGATCACTTCTTTGCTCTACTTCTCAGAGTTTTTAAGTAGACAGATCTTCAGCACCTTCTTGCTATAGGAACCCCTTGAGCCTTTAAGATACCAGCCCACATGGGGGTTGCCTCTTATACTATAAATGCTAGCATAAAGTGTGAGCTTATTGTCTCTTCTAGCTGCTGGATTTGGATCCTGTTGCCTATTCGTGCAGAGGGCTGTGATCTGTGAATCTACCCCTAAATAAATAACCTTTGACTATACTCAATTCTGAGCTAGTGTGGGATTATTTTGTAACTTCCATCATAATCGTGTACCCAATGCGAATCCCCACCAAGTGGACTGGCCTAAAAGACCCAAAAGGTCCACAGCCCAGAAAGTCTCCCACCCTTACCCGCCTAGCTTGAATTTACCCACTAAGCAGTTAGCTGTAAAAACCTTGTTGTAGCTGAGCTAAGTGCTGCAACTTGAAAGTTTCCGAGGCTCGTGGACGCTTCCATACCCCTTCTTTCCTGCTGCACTCCCTGTACCCGGCAACTCGTGCGGCATTTACACAGCTTCCCTTATGTGTTCCCTGTTCACGAGCTCTGGGTTCCCTAATCAAAAAAACTCTCCATGTACGGAATTGATTAATTCCTCTTAAGTAAATTAAGAGCAAAACATATTTGTCAGTATTTAACCAGGCACCAATGTGCAGAAGCAAAGCGGCTCAGGACTGTTCCTGCCACTGATTGCATCTCACCACCACGCGGCTGCAACTGTGACGCCTGCTGGCCAATAAAAATTATTACACCTACAGCAATTTACCAAAATCTCCCAACAATCAACAAACTCGAAAGTTACACAATTGCAGAAAATATTACCATCCAGAAATTTAATAGCCTTTTGCTTATACTATGGATGGTATTCTGCAAGGCTTATATGGTTTTTCTGATACGTCCATTTTTTTGGATATTGGGACTTAGTTTTCTTTTTCATATTATATCATTAAAAATGGTTTGATAACAGAGCCAAGAATCAGGCACTTTTAGAAATGATACAGTCTTTACAGATTAATCATGAACAGGTAGTTGACAGCATTAATACAATCAAAAATCAAAAGCTAACTGAAAAAATTAATACCATTGAAAAGGATAACATTAATTTTACAGATAAAATTCAATCCATGTCAATGGGTACTGAGAAATTATCTGAAAGAATTCATACTGATTAATTTGACAATCAAAATCTGTTTAAAAATTATGATAGGTTAGCAGATAGAATATCTTTCCAGGAAGGCAATTTGCATACTACCCAGATATTGTTCAAGGGTGAGATATTATCTTTAAAGGAAAAACTTCATACCTTGGAATTACATGTGCAGAATGAGGACCAGAGGCTTGGTGCATCAATGAGATCACTAGAAATATCTACAGGCCTTGAGATTCAGGCTTTACAAAAAAATAGTAGTAAAAACGATTTGAAATGATTGAGCAAATTAAAACAACTGATGAGCAGGGAGAGAAGGTAAAAGGACAGGGTTTAACATCACCAGTACATATCAGAGTCAGCGATGGCTTATCCAAGAGTTTTAGCTTCCTACCCCATAATAACCTCTGAAAAAGCATCAAGTTCTGAGAGCCCAAAAGCATCCAAAGAATGTAGGTGGATAACTATAGGTATGAAATGATCTAAAAGAAATTAAGCAAGCAGTAATATCTTATGGCTTGCATTCACAATTTGTTAGGGAGATGGTAAAGATGTGGGCTTTCAGCAATAAGGCTACTTCACACAACTGACTTCAATTAGTTTCAGCAGTCCTGGCAGATGGGCCACAACTACTTGCAAACACTATTTGTGAGAAGAGGCAAAAAAATTGAGAAGAACAGGGAAAGCAAAAGAGCTTGAGACTTTTAAAGATCAAATTCTTGGAGAGGGCACTTATGCTGACCAAAGGATCAAATCTTTTATGATAAAAAAAAACCAAAAAACAAAAAACCTTGTCCCTATGCCACACAGAAACCTTAAACGGTTGGGACAAAATTCAAGATCCAAGAAAGGAAATTAAATATTATACCA